CATGCGGGAAGGAGTGGGAACCGTCAGTACAGCCTCCTGCCAACCATATATTGAAAGGACATGTAACTAATTCGCAAGACGGACATGCGAAATGTAAATAGCAACGCGCACCAGAACAGCAGATGAGATCACACGTTTTGTGCAATTCAGCCCATCAAACGATTGCTTGTTAATGATTTTTACTGCTTTGTACTTTTGTCTATGCAAAAATAATTCAAACAGTGGAAAATAGTTGAAAATTTCACGCACCAACGCATGATAGCTGAATTCGAAACTTTGAAGGGTGAATATCTTTCCGTGATTCCCAAGTTAATAGTTTAACCGCGAAAATTCTCACGAGGCCGTAGGTGATACTCAACAGTGAAGGAACGCTGAATTTGAATAGGCAATGTTGAGCGTGGGTACGGGGCCATTACCCTAAAATTTCAGCCTCCAAGACTGCGTGGTTCCTGAGATATTAATTTACCCGTAAAAAAATTTCACGGGGCCGTACGTGTTACCCGCCCGTACGGGAAGGCTGAATTTAAATTTGCCGCATCACCCGTTGGCGAGAAACACTATACCAGAATTTCAGCCGCCTAGCTTTTGTGGTTCCCAAGTTGAAAGTGCGGGACAAAATGTGGGACACACACACAAACAGACAACCCCGCGACAATATGCGTTTTGTACTGCTGTTACACAGCACAAAACGCATAAAAACTGAAGAACTTGAAATAATAGACCAGAAGGATTTCACTCAGACGTCATGTGTAAGGTGATACTTTACGATGCAAACTGTCTTTCATCGTTTAGATGCAGTGGTAAGGTGATATTTTACGATGCAGTCTCTCTCTGTGTTTCATCCCTTAGCTGTAAACACAGACCGGACTATGCATGCGTGTAGGAGTGGGAACCGTCAGTACAGCCTCCTGCCAGCCATATATTGAAAAAACATGTAACTAATTTACAAGACGGATATGTGAAAGAAAAAGAGAGAGAGAAGGAGAGAAAGTGCAAGAGCGTGAAAGTAATAAAAGTGATGCTGGAGCAGAAGCAAGGGGAAGAAACTAAAATATGAATAGTCACAGCAATTTCGCGAATTTAATATAGAAATTTTCAGAGAAAAAAAGGAACCTGGCCGAATATCGATGGCAGTGTACATATCCGACATATAATCCTCAGCATCACTGGCCGATGCATTTTCATCGTGTGCCATTATTACCCAAGAATTTATACCATAATGAATAAAAAATTTTCTGAAAAAAAAAATCTATGCATTTCGTGAAACAACTGAAAAGAACGTGGGGTACCATTCAACTCGCGGTCCCGTTGAGAGGCACTGTGCAGCCGAAACGCGAAATACCTGAATTATAAGTTTCGCCTAACTCTTCTTCCCCTCCTGTATCCTGTCCCCAATCTCTGCCTCCAAAGCCGCTTCGGAGCACCCGCCACCTACAGCCACTGTCACCGTTTATCGTCCTGAACTCCTAG